TGTATTAATATGACTGTAATAATACGCCGGAAACTGTCACGCGGTGTAGATCTAGTTCGGTATGTGTTAGACATATATATACTGGTGTAGTCCGGGTATGTGTCACATATCTCTATATAAGCATATATACACTGTAGATTGTCACGTGGCGTAGTCCCTGTATGTTTGGCCGATGTACACCTAAAACAGTCATGTGGCATAGGCAGATATAAACTGGACAAAAATTTGTAACGCAGTTTGTGTATGTGTAAAATACATTTTTATATTTCAGCAAATTGGCATCAGAATTAACAATGTAGCGAAGTTTGTGTATGTCTATTACATCTTTATAAAGGCAGATAGACGTTGGAAACAATCATTTAACGTGGTTTGTGTATGTCTTATACATCTCTTTATGAAGGTTCATCTACATCAAAACAATCATGTAGCGTAGTTTATTTATTTTCTATACGTCTCTTCATATAGGCAGATGTACAACGGAAACAATCTTGTAACGTAGTTTATTCATGTGTTATACATTTTTTCATACAATCCAGGCAGATATACTACGTAAACAATAATGTAGCGTAGTTTGGGTATGTGTGGACATCTTCACATAGGCAGATGTACAACGGGAACAATCTTGTAGCGTAGTTTGAATATGTGTTATACACTTCTAAGTAGGAAGATGTACGCCGGAAACAAAACGTTAGCTGCTCATATAATAGACCATTAATTTATTTTAGATGAACCTGCTGAAATTACAAAAGGTATGTGCCCCAATGATGTAGAAATTTACGATAACAAAGATACTAGTAAATATGTCGATGTATTCAGATTGCTTCAACTAAAAGGTTTATATAATAATTGATCTTAATGCTAAATATCAATTATTTAATAGTTAGAAAATCAACTGTAAAAGAAGATATACAAATGTAAAATAACAGTAGAAGTTACGGCGTTTCTTGTTTTAATGTACATATTCATGTTAAATATTTAGTTTTTCTTCTTACTTTATGACAATTATCAAATTGATAAACTGTGTTTCTAGGAAAGTAACCCCTATTCACGAAAACCCGTACACACGCGATAGAAGAAGAACACTTGCTCCTCAATGCAAAACATTTAGATTTTTATATCAGAGAATGCCTAACTTGTAATATAATATCACTAAATACTACATGTTCATTGAACTAATTCCATGACTCATAGAGTAAATATAATTTTGTTTCTAAGGAACAAAAACAACCTTACCACCCTTGTTAGAGTAGATATAATTTTGTTCTAAGGAACAAAAAACAAGCTTACCACCCCTGTAGATAGAGTAGATATAATTTTGTTCTTAGGAACAAAACAACCTTACCACCCTGTTAGAGTAGATATAATTTTGTTCTAAGGAACAAAAACAACCTTACCACCCCTGTTAGAGTAGATATAATTTTGTTCTAAGGAACAAAACAACCTTACCACCCCTGTTTAGAGAGTAGATATAATTTTGTTCTAAGGAACAAAACAACCTTACCACCCCTGTTAGAGTAGATATAATTTTGTTCTAAGGAACAAAACAACCTTACCACCCCTGTTAGAGTAGATATAATTTTGTTCTAAGGAACAAAACAACCTTACCACCCCTGTTAGAGTAGATATAATTTTGTTCTAAGGAACAAAACAACCTTACCACCCCTGTTAGAGTACATATAATTTTGTTCTAAGGAACAAAACAACCTTACCACCCCTGTTAGAGTAGATATAATTTTGTTCTAAGGAACAAAACAACCTTACCACCCCTGTTAGAGTAGATATAATATAGTTCTAAGAAACACAACAACCTTACCACCCCTGTTATAAATTGACGGTGGTGTGTTCTGATCTTTCTTATCATATACACCACACTGATTTGTCATCCAGCTTGTAATTTTTTCAAGGAGTGAATACAAGGTATAAAATAACTAAGATCTCCCATACCCAGTCCATTATCATGTAAACGCATATTTAATAATTTGCTATTTATTAAAACAAAACTTGAATCTTTTTAATTAACAACAACAAAATTAGTTAAACTCACTTTATTAAGTTCACAATAGTATTAAATTAATTTTCCTTACGCTTAAATCGAGCGCATTTAAGTAAACATGGCTCGAGTGATACCTGGCTACAAACGGTCTACCTCTACTGCGATTAGCTTGTGAATAATAAATAAATAAACAACGGTTCTTTTGGTGTCATTATCTGAAATGGTGTGGCAAAGTAACAAAACATAAGACATTTAACTGTGAATTTTATTTTTAAATGTATGATATGGTATAAACATTATTCAACACAATTTTGTACTAACAATGAAATGAACTGGGAGAAAGGCGACGATCCCTTTCAGAAAAAAAAGTAATTTCAACCGGTCAAATATATCAGTTTTGTTTATATATTAGATCATGCATCATCTTTACACATTTATTATTCTGAACAATTTCATTGAAATATGTTAGGAGTTAGCAAATATGACATCATGTATTTGCAGACAGTAAAACAATTTTTAATTAAAGTGACATTATGCTCATATTTTAATAGTCAAGTTGAGTTGAATTGACTTTATATTTCAAAAGATTGACTGTCAAAATGCTGTTTGACCAACAGTTGATATTGGAAAATGTTTAGGATAAAATTATAAATCTGCCAGACTGTCCCACTCTTTTTATACGTAAGTTTTAACGGACATTTACATAAATTTCATTCGGATCGGTGTGTTATTTATTGTTTATGCGAACTTAATCATTTAATTTAAAGGGATTGTGGCCAAATGAAAATATATTTTGATCTTCACCCGTTCACTCACTAAATACCCTTGGATGGGCATATTGTCACTTTAAGACATTCTCATTGGACACACATTTAATGGATTTAGATATATCGTGTTAGAAATAAAGCAAATCAAATATTTATGGACTTCTTACGTTGAAGATAATGTCCCGACAGCAATGTTGTAAAAAATGGTAATACATGTTTTTTCCTGACACATGTCTGTTTACTTATTTTTATCTGTTTCATACACTTATCCCCGAATTTCCTCTACAGTAAGAGTTTACAATGACTTCTGTAAAACTCTGTGAATAAATCATAATGAAGACAGTAAAATACATACACCATTTTCGTGCTTGATTTTACATTTATGTAGTATATACGTATGACATAATTTTTCATACATATTGGAGCTGAAACTGCGTCCCAGCGCTGGCATGCAATAAAGTTATAATTCATATTATACTGTTTGAAGTTGGACAATATAGTACCACATAATCTTCTAACTGTTAGGTACTTTGATTATTTTATGCCACTTTCAGACACAAATATATATGTATTCTTACATCAGTTTGTACCATGTTCACCCTTTGCCCTTGCATTTTGTTGATGTAATTAAACACATCAACAGAGCCTAAATCATTGCGTTCCTCCCTTATAATGTCTTAATGTATAAACAGTCCTCCTTATATCAGCACTCCGATCAAATTTTGAAAATAAAACATTAACCGTCAGATATGGTGTACTTGTTCTTATAAGAAACGACATAACAGCATCCCCCGTTCTATACACACGCGCAAATGCACGTACACACTTACACACAAACATATACGTATACGTATATTTCAAGTTTTAAACGGGACGAGATATGACGAGAGGAGACAGGACGGGACAGGGCAGACGGATAGAACAAAGTGATTCCTATAAAATACACGCCTTCCTAAACACACACACTATGTGTAAAAACATTATTGCTAAATTCCAGGGGAACCAATATCTCCAACTGTAGATCAAAAGACCATAAAGTAGCTAACTGCTATTTTTCTTAACCTCAAATTAATCAAAGTAGTTGAGATCAAGTTGGTATAAAATTGATAAAGAAGCATAAGAAAAGCAAGCTTAGAGTTGTAAACTCTTGTTTGAAGAGACTTCGAATAAGCTACTATTTTCTTTTAGAAACCAGAGGAGCGTTGGTTAAAACCTATTAGTATCAAGTTTATATTCTTGAATCTTTCAGATTTTGTTTTTAAAATGAAATCGAAATATCTAGATATTTAATTTTAATCATATAGTTACTATAGGTATTAATGATACTTAATTTCAATAACTATACCGGCACATCGTGTTTTCAATGTCTTATACTCGTAAAATCGATTTTCGCAATTTTGATGTTAAAATGTTGAATTCTACTAACGCTGATGCTGGGACAGGAGTCGTGCATTACACACTATTTCTTACAGAGCCTGAAACATGTTCATATTTCTGCGTTGTATACGTTTATTGGGGATTCCATTCTTACTGAATTAGCTTTTTTGTTACGTTTCAGTTTCTTATAGTGCCTATGAGGGGTTGTTACGGTCCAAAAGGGTATCAATAGTCACAAACTTTAAATAACAAATTTTATTGTTTAAGTCCAATTACTATATCATAAAATTACATTTATACAAAATTATAATTTCTTCACAAATATGTAAAATAACTTTGAATATAATATCTGTCAAAATTGTTGAAAATCGAATTAATTTCTCAAAACGTAAACTTTATAATAACCTCAAAACTTTAATGATAATCACTTAAATAAATTAATTCCAATACTAAAATTTCCATAATACTATAATATGAAGATTTTACCTAGAGGTTTTATCTGATGGTTTTATCTAAATAATTCCTTAAAAGACAGTATTTTCATTTACAAAAAAAGGTTTTTGGACATTCTATCTTTAATAGAAACATATAGATTTATGTAGATTCTAAAAAAATTTTTAAAACTTCAAAAAGTTTCAAAAAAATTATTTAGACAATCGTTACAAATAAAGTTAAAATTGGGGATTAGTTTAATTCAAAAAAATGTGTAAATTTAAAACTCTAACCTGCATAAAAGTTACAATTACTAATTTATACACCCTCAAAAAAAGTAGATAAATATTATTCATTTACAAAATTTTTTCTTTAAAAAACTAACCAAAATAATATAATTTTTTATCAAAATGTCAAAAAATATACGTTCAAGAAAACAAGTTTCTAATTATCGTACACAATATAAATACATGCATAAATATACACTGTCTCAAATTCTAACTAATCATTTTTTAATCTTTTATAAGCAAATGATTAGTGTAAATACTGATTACATGCTATACACATGAGATAACACACATGTTAATTATACCCAGGAATATCGAAATAGTGATATCAGTGTGAGATTATACATAAAATAGATTTGTGATCGAAAATTTAATCATAGTGAAAATCTTTAAAGCTGCATGCCTCCCGATGAGCCAAAATATTCCAAGAAACCCAAGAAAAATCAATATTGGGAAAAATGTACTAACATTTTAAGAAAGGTAAAAACATTTAAGATCCAAGTTAAAGTTTACAGGTTATGTGCGGTTTAAGACTGATTTTGCGGGATTTTATTGCGTTACTAAAGCAGTAAGGGCTGTATTGCATATGTTGCCCACTTTTTGGTAGTTTTCGTGGATGTAAGTGCCGATTGTGATATGAAAATTACTTTTTTTGTTCACCTTACATTATTTTACTTTTAAATACATTTCTAATTTTTTATAACAATGAACATGAATCTGAAGGCGTGCTGTGCTGTTTTAAACAATAAAAGTGATCGGACATAAAATTATAGTGAAAATGTTTAAAATCTTAAGACATATGAAAATAATAAAATGAAATATATTTGAAAACAAATCATATCATAAAACAAACAGTATAACTGAATTGTAAGATTGTAATATGTATTGTAAAATGCTTTAAATGCCAAACTTAAAAAAGCAGTGAATGAATAATAATTCCTTATATAAAGGTAGCTTAATGTGAATCAAGTGAAACTTTAAAAAACAATAAAGCACAATTATCTGAAAAATCAACAACAATACCCCTATACGGGAATTTACGTTAGGTAATACATTAATAAAAAACAAGATTTTAACAGAAATGTATTTGAAAAATATGGTTAATTTCATTATTGAAACGTATTTGATCTATCATTGGAAAAAGTACACAAGCCATTTAGTTTTAGGATTTTCTACTATTTTTTTAATTTAAACTAAAATGAGCATTAATGGATTTGAATTCTAAGAAAAGGAATCGGCTAAAGTAAAGAAATTTGCCGCTTATGGAAGTAAAGGAAGTGTCCTTGCCGGTGTTCCTGTGTTTAGGAATGCGTTATTTGAATGAAAAACATGATAAACAAGATCAACAAGGAAAGGCGGTGTTCAATGAACGCAACCCCCAACCGACCCAGTATCAAGAGACCATCTTTGTTGATAATGTTTTTCATTTTCTACTTTGTTTTATGGATACTTATTGTAAAATTTTAAAAGCTTGGGAAAATACTTAGATTTTATGTAAAAGCGAAAGAAAATAATGTGGTACATTTGTATTTCTCCTCCTTAGGAGCTTTATGAATGCGACCACAGGTCTCTTACAATACGTTTATGTACGACGAGATACTACACTTTGACCCATAGGTTCATTAGATGACTATGGTTTATGTAAGGTTGCCTAATACATCCACATTTTCTATTTATTTCATTACACGAACACTATCCACGAAGTAACAATTATCTTACGCCAGCAAATTTTATAATTATTTGACCTCTTTCTCTTTTGGTATTTTCTGCGTGCAAACCTCATGGACATATTCATTATCTTAAGTTTTAAACAATGCCATACTGTTTAAATCTTTGTAAGTTTTGTATAAATTGTACTGTCTTTACCAATTAAAACTTTTTGTGAAGATAGTGCTCTTTCAGCCTTTTTAATATTCAGCCCTTTTTGAAAACAGAAAAAAATACTTATCAACTCATTTTTTTCCTTACAAATGTGGAACAAGTGTCATGTATTTTGTATAATCTGGGTCATTTTTGGTCGAACGTAGTGTCGAATTGCTTCAATAGTAATTAAAAGTGCAATTCCATAAAAACATTCTTCATCAACACAGTAATGTAACAAAAACTTTTTAATTTTTATGCTGACGCACAAAAGAATTTACTGTAGACAATGTATAATGTCGAGCAAGATTTGGCAACCCTGATTGATTAAACAGAAATACGACTGTTACGATAAAAAAACAATAAACAACAATAAAATACAAAAATTTCAAGTGTTTAACAGCAGCTTTATAAAATAACGAACAGGCCTTATTAAACGTCAATCCTGTCTAATTAAACATCAATGTGTTCATATATTTTTCTTTCAAATGTCAAATATAATTGTAAGTATAGTATTCCCACAGATGTTTAACTAGAAATAATTCCTGACAAAGAATGACTAAAATAATTCTAGAGATTCCGTACTAATCATTGTAGTAAATGTAATTCAATATTTATATGCTAAAATTCTACTATCGTTTAACATAAAGCTATCATTTTAAGAAATGCGAAACTATTTGTGAAAAAAAAAAGAATTTTTCTGAATATTCTTCTGTAGCAACATACATTTTGTATCTAGATACATGTAGATTCTACATAAATATAATTTTCTAAAATTGTCTATATACTCAGATATTTATAGAACAGTCAAGTAGAAACTAGGTTATGATCACGATATCAATTGTTTTTAAATGTAGCATATATCAAGTATAAATGGTTCACATAAATACATAACAAGGCGCACTGCACTCCCTTAATGATAACCACCATTATATTGAGTGTTATTTATTATCTTCAGTTCCTTTTGTCTTGAGACCTGCTGGAGCAGCCATTCATTTTCCTTGATCTGTATAATTTCAATTTATAACATATATTATAAATATTATGCGATGTATATTTAATGGAAAAAAAACTAATTATAAGCAATATAAGCCAAGATAAAGATATAGAATTTCACCTGCAGATAAGAGCAGAAAATATATTGTCATCAAAATTAACAAAAATCTATATTCGCAGTATTGGTATAAACATCACTTTGTATTTGAAAATGATGTTAAAAGCAAGGCTGAAATATATTTAAGACTAAGGACAATTTAAAAATGAAGACAGTCTAAAGACAAAATAAAATAAAACGAATCATATTAGAATGAATTATGAAAACTTACTGTTCAGTGCGTCTAATGCTGTCAACATCGCATTTGCAAATATTTCTGAATCTTCTTTGGTCGCAAAATTAAGACCATATACATGACGACTGTCTCTCCACTGGTGAAATGTGGGCGTAGCCTTATTGTATTTCAAATTTTTAAGAATGGCACAATTGATCACCACCTAAAATGTCATGAAATTGACAATTTAAGCTATTTTCAAATTTTCGAATGATGAAATAGCAACAGTGCATTAAAACAGTTAAACAATTTAGGTGATAGTCATGCAAAACTAAATTTTGTAATCTGGTGAAAATATAGAGTAATGCTAAGCTCTTATTATAAGTACATAATATACTGTCAAGAGTTCGATTTGTCAGAGGGTAAAGGATTTAAAATGTATTTTATTCAGTAGAAAAAGTTTGTTTTTTTTCATAATAAAAGTTCCATATATTTAAGTTAAGTACCTCACTTTGTCTAAGTTAGACTTATACTTTTCTAATTTATCAAGATATAAATAGTATGTATATTAATTATTTACTATTAATATACGTTAAGAGAATCATCAAATGAGTTGAATTGTTTATCTACACACTTATATTAGTTTGTACGAGAAATAACCTGAGGCAGCAGATGTTAATTAGATTAAGTAAAAGCCAGAAGCACTAAACGTTTCGATTTTTCGATTTGATTATCCAGTCATTTTTTTTTCGCGTGGCGATGATGCTGGAAAGTGCGCAGTGACAAAATTTCTGGTATAAAAAAGTTCTGTTGCTTGAGTAAAACCTCAGGGAAGAGCTAACGTTTTATAACCTTGTTAAAAGAACAGGTTTAGGTAAGCAATTTGTAGTACTAATAACACTATGACAAGCTTATGAATATTTAAGTCTTAATCTACTCATTTCATATTTCATACCTCATGGTCTTTTAGTTTACGTCCCACCACCCTGAATAAATTGTTAACTGTATGTCGGTAGATCTGAACTTTGGAGAAGACCAGGTGATGACCGCTTGGTATCCATTTTCCCGTTCATGTCATCTCGTATATTCATGACATTTGCCTTGTGCCTGCAAATTGGTATTTCTTTGCCTGGAAAATGCTTGTTATTTCTATGAATATATGACAATCGGGAACATAATTATTGACAAATGACTTATCTGATTTCAGGATTAAATTGGGTAAAATCTAGCCCCTAGTATTGGTTAAGAGCTAAACTTGCAAAATAATTATGAGAATATGAAAGATCAGAACACGTTAACAACATGTAAGAGACGGAAAATATAACGTCTCGCATAATGTTTAAAACAATTTAACCAGGATCGAACAAGAACTTAGGCCGCTTTATTTTCATATTATACATCGCAAAAAAGTTCTTTGCAGAAGATGTGTTTCACATGGATATTAAACGCTCCTTATTCCTATTCCAGGCGACTGATTTTTTAATTTAGGTAATCATTCTAAATATGTTAACTTAGATTTTTTATATGAAACAATCGTTACGAGTTGATAGAAATTTTCTACGGAATTATGCAAAATAGTTACTATATACATTAAGATTTAATGCCTCGACTTATTTCCTTTTCTCTAGAAGATTTAATGTATTCTTTTCTTAAACATTAACAAATGAACATTGCCAATTTGATTATCTTTCTTGTAAAATCATCAGAGTTCAGTTAACATCGCTAGACTTAAATTATGTGTTCATTAGTATAAGAAGTTATATAGCCAAATATTTTATCACTGATCTGTGCCTTGTCATATATTTGCTCGACGTGGCGCGGTAAAAATAACAACACGAAAGTACAACAAAAACAACATTTTGCAACCACTTTATAGTACTTTTGATCTGCTTTGTGCAAGGCGAAAACACAATAACACGCTAGTAACCATTTTGTGTTTTCACTTGTTGCCAACCACTTTGTCGCATTTTCGAGTTTTTGCTCAGCCACTCGGAACAAAAAAATACGACAAAATCACTACTTCTTATTTCCGTTTTGCGCTCTGCGGAACTAAAGTTCAACAGTTCATTGTAAGTGAAGTATGTGGAAGAGATGCTAAAACGTGTAAGAAATGAGCGTTTAAAATGAAATCGACTTGTACTGAATGTTGATAAATTCTTAGCAGGAATAAAAGAAACTTTCAACCAAGTTGTCGTAAATACAACATGCAAATTGATTTCATTAAGCCACTCGCATGGAGATCAAAAGAAATAGAAGCCAGGTCAAGGAGGAACAATCATATATTTGGGTGCTTAAGTAACACCAGAAAGGGCACTGTTTTACATTTTCCTGCCTAAAGACTATTGATTCTGGTAACATGTTTATTGTGCTTGCTCAGAGCTCCGGATTAAATTCCAGAAGAAACAAGTTGGCTGTGGCCAGAGTACAAGAAATTGACAGTGAATTACATACAATTAATGTTGTATACCGAAAAGCCCTTGAATGCAGTGACAAATCACCAGAATGTTTTAAATACATCAAAAGCGTAGTTTTTCAAAGACTGAAAAAAAAATTAAAAATAAAAAACATTTCACTGAATCATCAATGAGTGAAAACAGGGGCCAGTTAAGTCTAAAAGACTTTAAGGTACCTATACACTCACCGCCAGCGTACATACCGGGTATGTTACAACATATTAATCCTCATGACATTTGCAATTTTCCCCTAGTTACATTCATATAAACTGCACGACCAATAAATTTCTATTTCTTAGTAAAGCATACAAAAACTTACAAATCGGCAAATATAGCAACACGTGATGTAGGGCCTTGAATCCTAACTGTAACAAATAAGCTCAGGCATTGTTCCTCAAAGTTCCGTCCTATATGATCATAAAAAGATATAGGTAAAGAAGGCAATTTGTGTAAAAGGCCGACAGGGAGAAGAGCGTAGAGGAAAGGGTAAAGAAATCGGCGCCCTGGAAAGGGGGAAGTTAAATTAAATATACAGGGAAACAAACTGGGACACGGCAAGTGTGGCCCCTCAATTCACAAATCACATGACATACATCGCCATGAATACAGAGGCGCGTCCGCTTCACTGGAATGTTAAAATCGGTTAAAGGTGCACCAAATCTCACTTTGAGCCCAAATATGTTCCTGTAAAACGAGACCATGTTAATGAAATGAATCATCGTAAGGCAGATTTCTAACAGTTGTTATGGTGACAAAAGGTAAACGGTCTTTCAGCTGATACGTCTTTTGAATTTTGTAAACCTAAAAGAAAAATGTTAAAATGCTTGTTTATTTGTATATAATGTTAACAACTGTTTGTCATTATGCTCTTACATTTTATATCTTAAAGTAATACTACCTATTGTATCCTTCTGCTGGTTTTTCTTGATATCTCCGAGCTTTTGACAGTCGACCAACTGGGCGAGGCCAATTTTACGCCGATCGAAACGTAATTTTGATT